TTCATCCAAGCCCCCCCTGTGCCCACCCCAGGTGGGGACTTTCTCCGGTGGCTGGAACCAGCCCCCTGGGGCTCCCTGGACTCTGCCGACACCAGCTCCTGAGCCGGCGCCTGCAGGTGATGGGGAGACCTGGGGGAAAGGGCCGGGGCCGGGCAGGAAAGTGACTCCCCATCTCACCCCGCCCCCCCCATCTCTGCTTTCCATGTCTCTGCCAGTCCCAGAGCTGCGGCCGTCACTGACAGACATTCCCGGTCCCGCCAGCGAAGAGCCATAGGAATGGGTCAGTCAGTGCTTAATTTGTGCCAGGGCTGAGCCCTGGCACCTCTGGGCTTGGCAGTTCAGAGCCCTGGCACCTCTGGGCCTGGCAGTTCAGAGCCCCGACACCTCCAGTCCTGGCAGTTCAGAGCCCTGATACGGCACCTCTGGGCCTGGCAGTTCAGAGCCCCGACACCTCCAGTCCTGGCAGTTCAGAGCCCTGACACGGCACCTCTGGGCCTGGCAGTTCAGAGCCCCGGCACCTCTGGGCTTGCCACGGCAGTTATGCATGTAAAAAAATTGCTTGAGCCCCGACACCTCTTTCATTACAAATTAGCCTCTCAGGCCAAGGGGGAGGAGAGACCAGAGCAGAGCCATAAATGGGGAGAGAGGTTCCCAACTCCTAGATCCATTCACTTGGTTCTTTTTCTTTCTCTAAATCCTTATTGATCCATGATGCCGGATCCATCGCTCTAATTATTTTCCATAGATTCTAGTCCACTAATTTATCAATGTGCCATCCCTCTAGAGCAGTGGATCTCAACCTGTTTACCATTGTGGGCTGCATATGCAGCTCTCTGTATGTTACGTTAAGTGGGCCCCATCCACACAATATATATATTACCTGTATGGCCCTGAGGATGGCACATGGGCCACAGCTGTGTGCTGATTGGCTGCCAGCAGCCCACAGGTTGAGACCCACTGCTCTTGAGTGATTATCTCCTCAGTGTCTAAGCACTGCACATCAGGTGACCAGCTAGCAAGTGTGAAGAATGGGGATGGGAATGTGTGGGTAATAGATGCCTGTATAAGAGAAAAAAACCCAAATTGGGACTGTCCCTATAAAATCGGGACATCTGGTTACCCTACCTGCACAGATGCATAAAGCATCAATGAGAAAATGTGTCCTTTTTTTCTCTCCTCCTAATGCCCAGTGGCGAGGGAGATGGTAAGCCACTGTTTGAATTATTTGTGCTACGGTAAATAAGGTTCTGTTGTGGGAGGCACTGCACAAACTCCAACCCTACTCCCGTGAAGACTCTAGCCCCAGCATCTGTTAACTCAGGCGAGGTGTGCACATTGAAATCTATGGAAATCTGCTGAGTTTATTTACACGAGTCTTTCCAGGATCAGGGCCAGAGTTTGTACCGTGCCTGGCGTACGGGCCCCTCCGATGTTGTGTGGCACAAATTGTTGCCCCAGTGAGTTTGCAATCAGAGAGGAAGGCAGGCAGGAGACAGATGAACAGCGGCCGTGGAGCAGGCCGGGTCACAGGTACAGGCAGAGAGTTGTGTCACATGTGGCTAGATGGTTTTGTCAAAGAGATGATTTTTCAAAGAGCTCTAAAATCCACACGGGTGCTCAGGCTGTCTTGAAAATTGCTGTGCTTCATGAGGGCTGAGGGTAGGGTTAGCAGTGCGAATTTGGGGACATTTGATCCAGCGGTTCCTGAGATTAGGGGGAGCAGAGAGAGGAGGAGAATTAGGACACAAGAGGAAGGGTGGCCCAGTGGTTACAGCACCAGTTTGGGGCTCAGGAGTTCCCTGCTCCGTCATAGGCTGCATGTGACTTTGGGAATTAGATGGTAAATTCCTTTACAAATCTTGCCCACCTCCCAGGGATGTAGCAATGATAAATACACAGGGCTTAAATTCTCCCTGAGTATTTCCCAGAGCCCCAGGGCTTCGGCTCCATGGAAGGTACTGGGACTCCCATGGGTTTGAAAATAATTACCAGAGCTCTGTTCCAGTCAGCTCCAGCTGAATTTAAGTCCTGACAATGCATTAACAGTTGTGAAGTGCTTATATACTAGGCTCATGGGACACTATTAATAGCTAAGAGTCACTCCGAATGCTGGGGGAAGAAGGGAAGTTGCAGAGGAGTGGAATCAAATCACTATAACTTTTGTGCAGCCCCTGATTTTTCAACCTGATTTCTCCAAACTTTTCCTCAGATGCAGGGATCAATTCTGCATCGCCACTGATAGAAAAGAAGGGGGGATAGATACAGGTGGCGACTTGTACTAGGTATGCACCTGCCTTGGAACATCATCTTGTCATTGCAGGCGTGTTTTTTGAGGGTTCTTGACAAGAAAACTCTTGGTCCAATGCATGATCTGGAGAGATCCCGCAGCAGGGAGTACCCTGCCCCAAGCTCCCCTGAGCTTGTCTTAGGGCACGGTTAGAACATGATCTTGGACTACTTTGTAGTCAGTGCAGACAGGGACAAGATGTGATCAGTATCAGGTCAGCAGGCTGTGGTTAAGGGTTTGTCTACATGAGGAATTTGACCAGAATAGATACCCCAGAATAGCTTCCTGTGTGGACATGCTTATCCTGGAAGAATTAGCTGGTATACTTCTTCCAGTGTAGACTAGGCCTACGTATAAGACAGACGAACACAAGGAAACAATGAGGCAAAAGCAGTCAGCATGATAGGTGGTGTTCTCAGCACACCAGCAGCCTAAACCATGTCAAGTTTGTAGCCTGGGAAGTGCCCATAAGGGACAGCCATTACAACCATGTTAATAATGTTGTGCTAATTAGCAATCAATTAACTAACTAATATAGACAAGTCCTTTACACAGGTTGGGCCTGTGTAGCAGTAGGGGCCTGATTCTGATCTCAACTGCACTGATGTAAATTGGGGATATGTCTAGACTACGTCGTCGTAGCTACCCAGGCATAACCCTGTAGCGTAGACGCAGCTTGTAACAACGGAAGGGGGTTTTCTGTCAGTGTAGGAACCCCCCACCCGATGCATTCTTCCAATGACAGCTGTGTCTACACAGGGCCTTAGGTTGGCATGGGGTTTTTTTTCCACCCCTGACCGGCATAGCTACACCAAGCTAACTCTTAAATGTAGCCCAGGCCTTGGAGTGGTTCCATTGAAGTTGGCGTGAAGAGAGAGCAAAGGGAGAAGCAAATCGTGGCATTTGCGTGTTGGGGGCAAATCCTTTTTAAGAACCTGAGGCAATATCTCCAATGCAAAAGAGTTGTGTTCTTAATTTGGATTCACTCCTAATTTCACATGACCTTGAAAATTCAGTTAGAACCCAACCACCTCTCTTGGTCTGTGATACTTTTGGGTTAACTGGGTAGCTATATGCTGTTCTACACTTCGAGAACACAAAAGGGAAACCAGTTTTCCAGCATGACCCTAATCAAACATAGCTTGTTTACCATTCCTAGGGGTAACAGCAACGGAGAACATCCTGTTCCTAAAGCCTGGGGTGCAACTTGAACTGCTAACCACAGTCAAAAGCCGAGTTGCTGTGTTTGCACTGCTGTTTTAACCTGAGTTAAGAACACATCTCCTGCTTTGTTCTGAGGACACACCCAGGGAGAGCAGTAGGCCAGGCTTCTAGGGCTCTCTGGTCAGTCTCAGGGGGGTTAGAAATGGCCAAGAGATTTAATCCTTGTGCTGGGCTGAATCACTAACTCCCGACTGTGTGTGGAGATCGCTGAATCCCTTACGTGGACCATTGCACATCAGCTTCCACATGCTGGGCTTTGCGAAAGGGCATCTCCATGGGTGTTTCCTATTTGCTTCATGTTACATATCCTCTCTGGCAAACATAGGGGCAAGGTTTAAAATCCCAGCACCTGTGTAACAGGGACTCCAGGAATCTGTAACCAACCCTGATCTCGCCTGTTCTCTCTCCCCTGAGCAGGATTCCCCATCCTTAAACCTGACCTGCATGGCGTCAGGGGAAGAGCTGTGGGCACTGGATCTCCAGGGGAGGCACCAGCCCAGGTGAAGAACCAGTTAAACCAGCTCAGAGACCATCTGGGAGAGAAGCCCAGCGCTGGGATTCGCATTGAGCCCTTGTGAGCTTTTCCAGGTCTGCCCTTCTCAGGTAGCTCATCACCGAACTGGAAGGGACCTCGAGAGGTCATCTAGTCCAATCCCCTGCACTCACAGCAGGACTAAGTATTATCTAGACCATCCCTGAGAGGTGTTGCAAACACCTGTCCTAGTTTCAGGGCAAATGTTGCCTGGGGCTTTTTACCCTTTCTGCCTGAAAGCAGCTACCAACCCTCGCTCTGCCTATTGAGATAGGAAGGGAAGCAAAGCAGGATGGGTCCCCTCTGGTGAAGGACTGGGGGATGGTTTTGTCCAGGTTCCCCAGTACATTATCTTGGTATAATAGATTCTAAAGCCAGAAGGGATCATCTAACCTGACCTGCATAGCACAGGGCAGAGAATTCCACATAGGAATTGTTTTTTTTTCACCCTCTTCCTCCCCTGGTTGGGGGGGGGGGAACGTCTTATGTGTGGATTTTCTCCATAAACCAGGGATGGCAACAAGTGCGAATGAGAAGGCAAATCTACCGTGGGGAAGCCCTGAGTCCGCAGAAGCCGAGAAAGCAGAGGGGCACATTTGCCCAAGAGAAGCCAGTGAGAGTCAGGGTGGGTGGGAGAAAGAGGAGGAAGGAAATCTTCCAGGGGGGAGAGAGGATAAATCTTTTCCCCAAGGAGGAGACGTAAGGCAACTCTGGGTGCAGCAGAGAGAAGGGGAAGGTGATGGGTCCAGGGAAGGATTCATGGAGAGTGCCCAACCTGATGCTCAGTGGAGCACCCACAAGGGAGAGAAATGCCACCAGTGCCCTGACTGTGGGAAAAGCTTCAACCGCAGCTCGACCCTTAGTGCCCACCTGAGGATCCACACCGGGGAGCGTCCCTACATATGCCCGGACTGTGGGAGAGGCTTCACGCAACTGGCTCACCTGACCCAGCATCGGGGGACACACTCGGGAGAGGAACCCTATCGCTGCGCCGACTGTGGGAAGGGCTTTGGGGTCAGCTCCCGCCTGGTGGCGCATCAGAGGAGCCACACGGGCGAGCGCCCCTACAAATGTCCCGAATGCGGGAAGAGCTTCCGGGTCAGCTCAGTCCTGGTGGTGCATCAGCGGATCCACTCAGGCGAGAGACCCTATAAATGCACTGATTGCGGGAAGAGCTTTAATGTCAGCTCCAACCTCATTAAACATCGGAGGATCCACACAGGGCAGAAGCCCTACAAATGCACCGAGTGCGAGAGGAGCTTCAATGAGAGCTCAGCCCTGATTGCCCACCAGCGGCTGCACAAAGGGGAGCGACCCTACAAATGCCCTGACTGCGGGAAGAGCTTCAACGTCAGCTCCAACCTCCTGGAGCATCAGGGCACCCACAGGGGCCAGAAACCCTACAAATGCCCCGAGTGTGGGAAAGGATTTGCCCGCAGCGCCCACCTCTCACAGCACAGCCGGACTCACACGGGTGAGCGACCCTACAAATGCGCCGAGTGTGGGAAAGGATTTGCTGTGAGGTCCCATCTGGCCCAGCACTGCCGGGTCCATACTGGGGAGAGACCCTACAAGTGTGCTGACTGCGGGAAGGGCTTCACGGCCCGTTCGTCCCTGACCACCCATTGCCGGACTCATACAGGAGAGCGACCCTATAAATGCCCCGAGTGTGGGAAAAGCTTCAATCAGAACTCACACCTGGCTCAGCACTGGAGAACCCACTCGGGAGAACGACCCTATCACTGCCCTGACTGCGGGAGAAGCTTTGGGGACAGCTCTGCCCTCATTAAACATCAGAGAATCCACCTGCAAAAGAAACCTTGTTAACGCCACCCCGCAGTTACTGGAAGAGCTTTGCTTGGAACTCAGCGCTTATTACTAGAATGGGGCAGGTAAGGGCTTTTTCAGGGAGGTGGGAATTCAAAAAGAAAGAAAATAAATCATGTTGAGTTGACCCTAAAACAAAAATGTTCCAACATTTGGGGGGGATGGAAAAGTTGAAAATAAAACTCATTTCAAGTTGAACTCTTGTGCTACATGAAACATTTCATTAGGATTTTGAGTGGCTTTACCATCTCTTAAAATTAAACTGAAACATTTCAAACCCAAAAATAATTGATTTGAAAAGGTTGAATATTCTGGCTTTCAGATTTTTTTTTTTGAAGGGAGCAGCTGAAACAATTCAATGAAACAAACATGTGCAAAACATTTTGAAGTTAGTGGAGCTGCATTTTTCCCCACACAGAAAAGAAGTTTCCAACACAATTTTGCGCTCAGGTCAGCTTATTCCACTTCAGAGAATCCATGCGGGGATAACCCTGACTGAGGGGAGTAATATCGGTGACATTCAGTTCCTCCCTCTGGGAGCAGACCACCTCTAGCTGATCCGTGACTCTGGTCTGGCCACTGAGACCTTGCTGCAGGCCTGCAGACTGAGCATAGGACGGGGAAGAGAGAACACCTGCAACCTTGGTTGTTCCCTCTTCTGGGACTCAAGAACCCTCTCCTCTCCAGGCAAGATTCATTCCCTGGGCTACCCACATTGGTATCAGAGAGGTGGGTAAGAAATTAGGTCCAATTTCATCTCCAGCACTGCCTCCCCACTGGAGAAATTGGATGCTTAATCAATGCTCCAGGTCTCATTCTCCCTACAGGCAGCCTTAAAACTGAAGGTGCCCTAGGCTCCCTCCCTTAGCAGGAGCCATTTCTTGGGGTGAGGGACTCACCTGCTTTACTAATCCCACCCACCATCACCCCCAGCTAGCCCTAGCTCTTCCCCCATCCCGGGTCTTCTCAGGGCACGTCTACACAGCCGCTAAACACCCAACTCAGGCTCATGGGACTGGTTCACTGCTGTGTAGCCTCCTGGGCTCAGGCTGGGGTGTGAGCTCTGGGACCCTCCCACTCATCAGGGTCCTAGAGCCCAGGCTCCATCCTGGGCCCAGAAGTCTACACAGCAATGAAACAGCCCCGCAGTCCAAACCAGCTGGCACAGGCCAGCCATGGGTGTTAAGCCGCTGTGTAGATGTACCCGCAGAAGTCTGGCCCTCTAGTTTGACCTGTCACTTTGCTGCATGGGGGGCACGGTGCGAAATGAAGGGGTGGGGCTGGCTAATACAGAGTGTAGCATGATTAATTTGTGATTGGCCTCAGCAGTAGAAATACAGAACTGGGGTTTCCACCTGTCCAGAATCTTTTGCTGGGGGAAAGGACAAGTGAAATGAAGTGGAAGGCACTCTACTCCTACATTTATGATACAAGAACCTGAATAGGATAGAATTGAAAGCCAGAATTTGACAGATTGAAGATTGGGATGGCTCAGTGTATGGCTTTTCTACAGCTGGAGTTATTCCAGAACAGCTATGCTTGAATTATTTCATGTGTGGACATGCTGAATCTGGAATAAGAGCACCTTGTTCTGGTTTAGTTTAATCCACTTTCAAGGGGGATTTGAATTAGCTTAATCCATGTTGGAAGTAGATTAAACTAAACCCAAAAAAGGTACTCGTCTTCTGGAATAAGTGTCCACACAGAGCTATTCGGGAACAGCTATTACATTTTAAAATCCACTTACCTTATGCCAGAGTAACTTTCACATGTAGACAAAATCTTCGGGTAGGTCTATACTTACCTCCGGGTCTGGCGGTAAGCAATCCATCTTCAGGGATCAATTTATCGCATCTTGTCTAGACGCGATAAATCGATCCCGGAAGTGCTCGCTGTCGACGCTGGTACTCCTGCTCTGCGAGAGGAGTGCGCGGAGTCGACGGGGGAGCCTGCCTGCCGCGTCTGGACCCACGGTAAGTTCGAACTAAGGTACTTCGACTTCAGCTACGTTATTCACGTAGCTGAAGTTGCGTATCTTAGTTCAAAGTGGGGGGTTAGTGTGGATCAGGCCTTAGAGGCAAAGAATAAGAGGGAACATAAGAATCTATAGAAATATGACTAAAATGGAGACGGGAGAGAGCAGGTGAGCAAGGGGACACTGAGGGCAGGTCTACATTTAAAACATTGCACGCATGCAGCTGTAGTGTTCAGTGAAGCCGCTCCGACGCCAATAGGAGAGAGGGCTCCTGTTGATATAGTTACCTCACCTCCCTAAGAGGTGGTAGCTATGTGAATGGGAGACGCTCTTCCATCGATAATAGCTCTGTCTATACACGGGGTTAGGTCAGTATAACTATGTTACTCAGCATGGATATTTCATACCCCTGAGCAATGTCGTTGTACTGATATAGGTCTGTAGAGTAGACTAGATGTCAGGGCTGGTCTACATGAACCAGTTAATTCACAGTCAGGGGTGTGGATGAATGCACCCCACACTAACCTGCTAGGAACTCTCTCCATGTAGACCTTGCTGATGTGCATTAAGTTCGTTAATGTGTTTTCAACTAGTCCTCTTTGAAACAGGACTAATCAAAGCCCATTAACTACTAATGCACATCAGCAGGGTCCACATGGACACAGTCCATGGCAGGTTAGCATGGGGTAGATTCACACACACCCCTTACTGTGCACTAAATATTAATGCCCTCAGTAAAATTAAAATGTAGGAAATCCAAAACTGATCAAAGGAAATACTTCTAATCATATGTGAAAAACTGTGGAACTCATTGTCACAGGAAGTAATTCAGGCCAAAACTTAGCAAGAGTCCCATCTCATCCTTTAGGTTAGGGGTCAGCATACATTGCCTGTGAATTACAGCCAAGAGCTTTCATTCCAGTGTCCCTATTCCCATATCACAGAACGGGGGTGACTTGTCCATGGTTATGCAGCAAGTCACTGGAAGACCTGGCTCTGCCAGTCCTGGATCATATCTACT